ATATATCCTCTTGATGATGTCCTGATGTTTTTGCATGTGCAATGGTTATGAGATTGTATACATGATATATATATATATATCCTCTTGATGATGTATGATGTCCTTTTCCTGCTTTTCTCTGGTTTGACAGAAAAGACTAGAATTCTAATTTACATATATTTGCTCTCTAATTAGGGTATTAAAATTTATTATACCTTTCATTGATTTTTACTTAAGGCTCAAGGTCTTTACTGTTTCAGCGCCAGCCACTGAACGTTCAACGTTGCTCGATGTCAGTCAGTCATCTACCGGAGTGACTTTGGTCGACAATACGGACAAAGATGAACTAAGCTCTAATGTTGTCGTAAGTTTTTATTGTTGATAATTTTTGCCTGTAAAGCTTCAACGTGTGTTGAAGCATCGAAGCTCGAATAAAGAAGCAAGCGCCAGTGATTACTCTGAGCCCCCGACTGAGTCGCCTTTGTTCAATAATAAACCGTTGGGCGCTGATCAGAAGGAAGAAAGGGCTGAACCTTTGTCTGGCGATCTGTTTCATGGTAAGCATCAGCTAATTTTTACCTGTTAGTAATTTTCTTGAATATGGTTGTGTCGTCAAAGCACTTTTTTAAGTGTTTGTTTTTATCGTTCTCTTTCATAATTGTAGTGTTATGGTCATTTTTTGATTTAATTGACAGGCATATTCTAAGCTAATGGGTTTCAGCTGTTTTTATGTCATGTGTCTATCATGTCATCTTCGTTGTTGTGATTGGAGTGTTGTTGTTCGTGAATATTGCGTGGATTGTTTCTTACTGTAAATTTTTTTCTGTTGAAAATTTCAGTTCTTTGAGGACCAGAGTCCATCAGCAAATAACAGTCAGTGCGTAATGATATACTGAAAGAGAATTAATTAGCTTTAAATTTTCAGGGTATGACCAAAAAGTGCCTACACCACCTTCTTTTCCGGCAACGGTGTCGCCAGTTCGGTCGAAGCAGGGCGAAGAAGGAACACCAAAGAAAAGTGATAGCCAGCCGGTTTTATCACGCGATTTCAGGAATGAGCTCGATAAGGTGCTTACTTCTAAAAGTCTCCGTTTGGATGGCACCGTTCAACAACCGTTGACCAGCAAAACCTCTGATGAGGATGTTGTAGCACAATCCTCAAAACCGTGCCTCGATTCCGAAGAAGCTGATGTCCAATACGAAGATGATCTTTTCCTTTGGCGACCACCTCCGCTGGTACCTTCGAGGCCTGGTGCTTCGCGGAAGATGCAACAGCAAGAAGTACAGCCTGCAAATCTTCCGAAGGTTTATTTAAATGTTATCATTTGCTTTAAAAGCAACTTCTAGCCTGCATTTGGGGGGATGAGAGATGATGCGAGTGTGTGAGGGTATGACAAAGTGAAGAGCCTTAAGGTGCAGTATTTTATTTCTGCTTGAGACGAACTTTGAAATGGTCGGTTAGTGCGGCGCTAGTGAACAGTTACGAGTCTTGCAAGGAGTTGTAAAAGCATTTAGTTTTCACATATCACCGTTATATCTGTGACGAACCCTTCAATTTGATAATTAAACTGATTTGCTATCGACAACGGAATCATATGCTATAAAATTGACGGTTAGCAAAGCTTCTCCCGCAGAATTCTGAAACTATTGAAAGGCTGGATATGCTCTTTAGAACCGTACGGCATTCACAGGACATTACAGATTAAAAATCTGGTTGCTTACATCATTTGCTTTTGTGAACTTGAAATGTGATCATGATCCACACCATTACCCCTGGCAGATGAGCATAAAGTTGCAAACAGCGCAAAGTGACCAACTTATAGTGCATTTAGCCCATTCTTCTTGATCATGATGAGAGACAAATTGCGACATTTATGTTTCATACCATGGATCACAAAGAAATAATTGAATCAGTAACCCGGAACATAGTAAGGAGAAGAGTTCGGTGAGCAGTTTAATATTAATAACTAATGCTTTTACTTCGCGACAGTTATTAGAATGATTTCTAGGTGAGATGTGTTTTACACAATGTTCTTAAACAGTCAGCCAGGTAGTCTGTTTGTCTGTATGTCTGTCACTGATTCAATCAGTCAATTTCGATGAAGGCTTCAGATCGTGCAGACAAAGGAGTCAGACACTGTCGGCAACGTTACTGTTCCTGTGCCAGCGTCTGAACTTCAGCAGAAGGTAACCTAAGCGTTGAGTAGAGCCATTGGAGAGAATTTCTCCCAGGTGTGTTCAGTGGTTGAGCAAGCAGTTCCTGTTTTTCTCTCAGGAGGGAACTGCCGGAACCATTGTGGTTGTGACGTTTCAGTCTGATGAAGAAGCAGGAGCTGTGCATCAAGGCTGAGTTTACTCTGATTTCTGAACTTTGGACTGTGTCTGGATGCATGTGCCCGACGATTCGTCTCAAATAGTAAAGACTCTACATAACTGTGCGGAGTGAAGTAAACCCGTTTCACAGTATCGTGCTAAAAGACGATGGACCCTCATAATCTTTAAAGTAGTATTTGTAAAGCCATTGCTAATGATTAGTGTTTTGCAAACATTAAGTCGTTCTACACGTAGCAGTACTTAAGTTATATTATCTGGAGGCCTGACCCGTAACTGCCAGTAGCCTAGGCTGCATTAAGATTTGGATTCCTGGAACGTTAAGCAAGGTTCAGCTGCCATCAGTAATTATTAAAAACATCATTGCATACCTGCCAAGGTTTTCGCCATTGTCATAATCACTGAATCATTTACATTGTTTAAATCATACTCGTTTTGAGCTTCGGTATCGTTGTCATGAGCGTAATCGTTATTATGATCATCCTCATTTACATGATCAGCATGATCTCTTATTGATCGTTGTTTTCATCGTCATCGGAAGACTGTCATGCGAGCGAAGAGTATGCTTCCCTTTGTTCCCATCAATATAAACAAACATGCTCTAGAGGTAGATTAACCTCGCAAGGTTTCTCCTAGATAGGTTATCGCTGTTGCTCAAAGGCCTCAGTGTGAGCAAGCTCCCATTTCTCGGTTAATTTTTTTGTATATACAAAGCATGGTTTCACGTTTGTTGACGTAGTTATTTACAGAACGCGGCTTTCCGTAATTCTCCCGAGAGAAAACCAACGTCGTTCTTGAATCCGGCCGTTTCTTCTTCCGAGACATGTACCACTACGCCGATTGGAAAAAACATACCTTCACAATCCGCGCACTTGTTTTCCAAACAGGTGAGAATTTTGTTTCGTCTAATCATATGTGAATTTGAGAATCACGTATGGATGTGTGATTATATTAATCACAAAATATTATAATTTGAATGTTAGTAACCGTATTATGCACTCTAAGTTGTTTACGTTTTGATGCATTTCAGCTAGTTCATTTGTTTTTTTTGTTTGTATCTGACCAGGTATTTCGTGTTTTCCATTGGGATAGAATTCGTGATAGAATTCCTGTGATTTACGTATGTACTGATATCCTGTCATTGTTCCTCTCTCGTTACGAAGAGACGATTTTAAGGTGAATTTTAGATATTATTATAGGTTATCGATAATTCGATCCCGCCTGTTCCGTTTGTTCCACCAGTAGTTGTCGAAAATTCGAAGAAGCAGCTTTTGCCTCGACATCTTGACAGTGTTGATAAAGTATGCCTGCAAATTTTTATATAGTATGTCCTAACTGTACCATTATGTATATCGTTGGCAACATTTGCTGATATTTGACCGTCCTCCTTGTTCTTCGTCTTTTTCTTCTTCCCCCTTTGTATCGAAGTGACGCCTGATGCTGCATCAGCGTTCCTGCTGGATCGAATAAATCCGTTTTCATTTTTCTGTTGTTTCGGTGCCATGTCATTTCTTACCAGATATCTCCATCATGTTATCGACCTTCCTTGTGACCGCCTGCCATTAGGCATGACGTGCAGAATTCGTTCCGCAGGGCGGCTATCATCCTTTCGTTGGCAGTTCCTCCCCCATCCGAACTTCTTGTTTGCATTCAGTCGGTCACTTTCTTTAGGATTTTTTTCTTCCAACTACAGCTGACACCCAATCTACCAAATACAAATCTGCTTCCTTTGAATAAAAATATTTATGGCCCAAACAGTAAGTTCCTATTCCAAATGGCTGCCTGCTGTGAGAATGAAGTTGCTGATGTAGCAGAAAGCGGCGTGGCTTTTTACAAATCACAAGAAAAGTGAACTCACGTAGTTATTCCAGAAATTCAAACGACGCAGGTCTCGTTGCAGTGCAACATCATTATCATCAGATACAGAAAGACATTTTCATTCAACATGTAGGTTGAGAGAGGTTTTTCATGTGAAATGTAAACATGAAAATAGGGTGTGTAACGTGTTCTTTTCGACCCTTATACAAAATGAGCAGTGGCCAAGTGTGCTCACTAATCGAACTAGAGAATTTCCGATAACGTTTAACCATCCGGCTTTCGTTAGAGACGGAGGGAGGCTCTTTTGTGGTTGGTTAGGTATCAGAAGATACGAGTGCCGATGAAAGGTTGAGGGAAAGAGGGGCGGGAAGGATGTTAGAGCCATTGTTCACATTGTCTAAAGGTATTTTGAAAAGCTTAGGACTGAGAAGCATGTTGGTACAATATTACCGATTTCTGAATTTCGGTTGGGGCTGCTTAACTTGTATCATTATAAACAATTGTAAATATCAAAGAATATCACCTATCTCTTTCTATGACGCACATGTAGACAGAGAATGACCATGCGCTGTGGTCGTTGCAGAAAAACTAAATGAACTTCAAAAATAGTTTATTCCTGCAAAAAACGGCCGATTTGAGGTGCGAGCTAAGTTCGAAACTGTCTAAGTACAGAGTCTTTTTGCTGTGCTTTTCTGAAGATGTCTTGAAGGTGATGATTGCAAAGGAGAGACATAGTTTAAGCATCAAATTTTGCTATCTAAAGCAAAGGATGAAGATTATGATGGCCATGATGAAGCTTACGATAAGGACGATGTTGAAAGTGGTGATAGTGGTGAAAAAAGTAACTTATTCTCATTAATCCGTAAGATTGATTGCACAGCTAAGCAATATTTTGTAGGCAATCATAAAATTTATTTATAGCTGATGTAAGAATATCGCATGTTGCCTTGGTTTTATTTCATGTAATATTGTAATACTGAGACATCTTTCATAGATTGACGTGGCCGTTAGAACTTCATCTCTTAAACCGTTTCAGCTTCATCAGCAGCAGGTCGCCACTTTTCCGTCAGCCAGCGAAGTTTCACCGAAGCCAAGGGACGAGGAGTGCGCTGCGCTAGTTAAAGAAAGGCAGACGCTTGTTCCTGTCGTTGTAGACGACGACGATGAGGTATGAATTTTAAGGATTGTTTAGCTGGATGTTGTTTTGAAAATTTAATAATTTTTCGACATTTTTGATTTGAAGGGTATTTTCGCCGGCACGTCGAATAAAACTGCTATGAAAGCTGAGAAAAAGGCGAAAACCAGAGACACTGAGGTCAGACAGCAAGTGGACGCTTCTTTGCCTGTTGTAGCCGACAGTCTGTTTGACAGTGACGATGATGACATTCTGTTTGGTGATCTGCTCAAGCACGACGCTTTAGAGGTGAAGTAAATTTTGGTATATAGTTTGCGAGTAAGGAAATATCAGTATGGGCCAGTACATGGTCTTGCGTTGAACAAATGAGTTTAAATTGCAGGTACTTTACAGCCACTAAGCCTTGTGTAATGCTGATTAGACGCCGAAAAAGCAATGAACACTGCCATCTGCCTATTTTAGTGTATTACCATTTTTCGAACTTCGCAAAATTTCTTTGGGCGACACATGACTAACAGAAAAAATATGGCAATTGTTTATGTGACATTTTGCTTTACACTTTCATGATTGGGAAGCATATGTTCCCTGACACATCTTCAAGCAGAACGCATAGTCACTTTTCTTTTTAAGGGCTCAATGTTTAGGAAAGTAAAAGTATGTAACCGTTGGAATGTAGCTTTTCCTTACACTTTCATGATGAAGCCATTTATGGCGCTGTTCTTTTCATGAAGTGTATGTTGGGGCGCTGATATTTATTTTCATGTAATCAGCCAGCAGTGCCTTATTTTGTTTAAACGTGGAGTCCACAGCAGCTAGGCGGAAAGCACAGTGTGTAGTCTGTCGTTTACTTTTCACACAACTGTGCTCATTTATCAATCTCTGAAGGAAGAAAGACCGGTGTTCTGACCTGAGCTGGAACCCGAGACCTTAACGTTTCTAAGTCTGATGCTCTGCCGACCGAGTAACCCGGTCTCCAGCTAGGTGACCATAATGACGTGTATTCATCTTTTTCTTCAAACATAGTGTACTTCTCCATCTAAGTCGACCGAGTGATTCACGCATAGGAAGACGTGCATCATTTTTAAGAAGTAAAACGTTATTGAATTTTTTCATATGCGTGAGTTTAATAATCATTTAATAAATTAACCTAAGAATAATTGTTTAAAATAGTTCAGCTTCTTAGACAGAAGCAACGCATTAAAGTAGGTGTTGTTTTTCATCTCTTATATACGTCTTTTCTTGGATGAATTACTTTTCGTTAGAAACTAATTTATTGTAACTAGAAGTGGTGCGAAAAGTACTGATGATACTTTTGATCTGATCTAATAAATTAACTTCATTATTTAGAGGTCTTCTACAAAGTTGATGCCAACTTCAGGCGAAGATACATTGCTTGAAACGAATGAAAAAAACCAAGTGTACAATGATCTGTTTTCAGTCATGCGAGTAGAACTGAACCAGGTAAGTACTGCCATTGTCATCACCCTTGTAATCAACGACTTAAGTACATTGTACCTCAGCATTTAACTTTTGTAACGGAACCTGAGCGTTCATTCATTTGATCGATGTGTTTCTGAAATCTCAAAATCTGTGGCCTTTACCGAACTATTCCGCATAGAGCACTTGCTTGCGTGGGTGGGTAATGGCGCGGTAAATAAATAATTTAGTTTACACTTCATAGGCTCTAGGTCAAATAAGATCGCGGTGTTAATTTCCTTGAACAAACAATTCATCCCACTCTGCTTAGGTTAGTCAGTCGAGAAGCGATGGCAGTAGGTACAGTTTAATGTTTTGAGGTTGTTACGCCTTGACTTGGCGTGCTGGCGCAGTGCGTAGGAGGTCGGCTTCGAACCCGAACTCCACAGGTGCCTAGTTCGATTCCCACGGTGGGAAATTTTTGTCTTTAACACGAATTCCTTTGAACAAGGAATTTGCGACACATTGCTTCAGACCGGAGTTACTCGAATGATACGACGTCAGACTCATAACCAAGAGGTCATTGGTTCGCGCTCTGATAAGGGACATGCGCCTTTTTTACTTCCGAATTCGAAAAATGAGTATTCTTTAGATAAATACGTGAGGAAGGAAGCAAAATGCAGACTATTCCTGTCACATAGCGACTGTGGATTCTGCCTTTAATAAAATGAGGCACTGCTGACTGGTTACATGGAAATGGTGATTAGCGCCCCCGTTCCCACCGTCAACTTAATAGCAACACGCATGTTAGAATTCGCTCAGTCATGTGTCAGATGAGATCGGTATTCCAAAGATTGCAAACTTTCTTTTTCTTCTCCATGCCAGAACGTGCAAAACGTGCAATATTTGCAGCCGATGAGTGTGCGCTTCGCTTTCATTTGTGTTACCTATCTGCTGTCTAACTAAAAAACTCAAGAGATAAACAGTTACTTTAAAAATTGAATTACAGCAACATTTCAGCTACTATTCCGGATTTGCACTGTGAAATAGTATCGTTCCCTTGTCGATAGTCTCATGGGGGTTTATAATTAGTAATGAAAGGCTGGCAATGCATTGAATGCGAGACCGCATTTCTGAGTTCGGACAAGTAAGGGCTTGTCTGCGCTCTAACAAAATTTGCCACCTGGTAATAATATACAAACAATATGACAGGGCATGTCCATATGTTGTGGTGTAGCGACCGCAAAAGACTCCGGCTCAGTTGGTGGACAGAATGTGATTATGCTGTGTAATTCTTAAGTCATACAAATTACGCGAACGGCACCCCAATACAGGTTGAAATATCGATAATATGCTTTAACGAAGTTTGTGCAGGGTAATTCAACAACTGTGTTGAAGTCTGTCCGTCGACTTAATTCCCTGCATGAGGAGATGTGGTTTGAGGTTTTTCATTCATTCATTCATTTTCCATGGCCACTTCTCTTTCCGGTAGCGAAGGTAGATGCGTCTGACAACGCTTTCATCGTTCCTGATCCTGTGTCAGAGTCTGAATTTCGGCAGAAGACATCTGGAGCCTGAAACAGACTCCTTCTATATGCTTGCACCAGGTTGATCTTGGCCGTCCCCTGGGCCTTCTGCCGGACGGTCTGGCAAGAAACGTTTGCTTATCCTTCCCTTATGGAGGCATTAGCAACACATGCCTAAACCATCGCAGCTGTGACCTCTCAATCTGAGGATGCAGCGGCTGCAAATTAAACCTCTTGCGGATGTCAGTATTCCAGACCATGCTGAGACGCGTAAGGCCAGCGACTCGTCTAAGACGGCTCATTTCAGTAGCTTGTATCCGGGTTCGAAGTTTTTAGTGATGGTCCACGATTCATGACCGTAGCATGGGGATAAAGATGGACTTGAACACCGAGAGTTTAGGTTTCAGACTGTGCTCTTCTTCAGTCACAATGGGTTGGGCTAGTTCACGCAGAACGGCACTCGCTACTCCAATTTTTTGGTCAATCTGTTCCTCCAATTTTCCATCACTGGCAAAT